ATGTTTCACTGGGTGCCCTAATCAATACCAAGGAGCGAGGCTATGGCGGCAGGAGTTAGCAAAATTTGCGTAACCTCACTGCATTTGCGGATGATATCGTATTGCTTGAGGACAACTCCGAAGCTCGACGTCATAGTTTCTAAGTCTGAAACAGACGTGTTCTGATTTGAGTCTCTCGATGTCTTCAAAGTGGAGAAAGTGGATGAAATTGGTTGAACTCAAACCTAAGATTATCCTACCCTTCATACTGAAGTTGAACATCAGAACATCTGTTTCGTAAAAGTACATTGGTTACAGGTGGAAGAGTGGCAAACGAAGTAAAGTAGCGCTGTGCGTTGGCATTGGCAGCGAGAAAAAATTGTTTAAGTTCTGGAAAGACAAGGACGTTGGCCATGGCGCCAAGCGGGAAATATACGAGGTTCGCATTCTGAACATGTTGCTTCATGGCTTGGAGAAAGCAGCCCTTGACAGGGCTGAAATCAGAAAACTGGCAGCAATTGTAATGAAAAGTTTAAGATGAATACCAGGAGAGTAGTACCATCTGATGTTAGATGCAGTTGTAAGAGAGAGAAACTAGAACGTGCAACTAAATGACCAAATGACCGAAAACAATTCGTTTAAAATGGTGGGGTCATTACCAATGAATAAACGACTGCGGCCTTGCAAAACAAGTAATGAACACAAAGCCTGCTGGCAGGCAGCCTTCAGGAAGACCTGCAACAGTATAGGAAAATCTCGTTGGGGCATCTGACATGACCCGAAATGACTAAAAAGTGAGCATGCATTTACTCGATGCAGGTGAAATGCTTGTACGTGCCCGGTGTTGTTTTCGATGTAATAGTGATACGAAAAATATTTTTCTTTTCTCTATATGAAAGCAGGTTTTTTATGATATTTTTAATACAGTAAGATTTAACGTCGTTTTTCGTGAAACATCTTCACTCAGTTGTATCTCATTCTCTATGAGGACTCACCATCTTGATCGACAACGACAAAAACCTACAGTGACATAAGTAAACCCGTTTTGCGTGTTTCTCGTATCTGTACAAAGGCTGGTCGTTTTATAACGCTCCGTTTTGTTTGTTTATTCTCAAGGACGAATCAGCATTGACAAGCCGATCGTAAATTATTTCCGGTTTTAGGTTCTGATTATAAGCATATCAAATTAGTTCCACAGTAATATCTTTGTCCCTACTTCTGAGTATCTGCATGGTTATTTCCGTTTGGGTTTTA